GGATCACTGAGCAGCTCACCCTTTGTTGGTCAGCGTGGATAGAGTGTCTTCTTCTTTTGCGTTCGGTACTTTTTTGCGTCCAGCATAGGCTTTCGTTGATGATGCTTCTTTTGCAGTTGCTGCCTTTAGGATTTCCTCTTTGGGCAAGGCCGATTCTGTTGTGGCAGGACGGGTGTGCAGACTGTGTATGCAGGGACGGGACTCCGAGCTCCTGGTGGGGCTCGGCAACCTGGCTGTCCTTGTTATTGGCTACCTTCCTGTTGTTTTGCCTTGGGCACTGGGCCCTGTTAAGGAATTTTTTTGGAAAAAAAAAAAAGAAAGTGCTGCCAAACAAAACTGATGGATGGTGGAACAATGGCTGCACCGTTTTTTTTTTTTTTAACCTAAAAGGGAGATAAGTCACACATTGGTGCATTCAAACGCGCCAAACAACAAACAAAAAAAAAAAGTTAAAAGGCCCGTAAGGAGAGATAGAATGGTGGAACAATGGCTAGGACCAATACTTTTCAAGGGGAGATAGGAGGAGAACACAGTCGGCCACGTCTAGAAAAGTATAAGTCCTAGCTCTCAGTTCCAGGTATCTGCAATCCCCCTGAGTAGACCATTCTATCTCCCCTTACGGGCCGTTTAACTTTTTTTTTTGTTTGTTGTTTGGCGTGTTTGAATGTACCGATGTGTGACTTATCTCCCTTCTAGGTAAAAAAAAAAAAAAAAAAGGACGGGGTCTACTCAGGGGGATTGCAGATACCTGGAACTGAGAGCTAGGACCAATACGTTTCAAGGGGAGACAGGATAGGAGAACACAGTCGGCCATCTTCCAGGTGAGGGAGGGCTAGGCCAGTAGGAAGTAGGATGGGTGCTTAACACAGCTCCAGAGGGAAAGAAGGTGCTCCAGCCTAGGAACCGAAACGGTCATAGTCCCAAGAAACAACGTTCTGGCATCATGACTTATCTTAGGGATGCTGGCCCGGTTTCCAGCAGGTGTTAATCCCCACCAATACACGCAGCAGCACCAATCGATGGAGCTTGTTTTTGTTTAAAAAAAAAAAAAAAAAAAAAAAAAGCCCTATAGGTAGGTCAAGCCTCAATTCCGGCGGGTCTCTTACCACCACGAGGATAGAGGACTTGCACAAGGGCTTCTCAGAAGGAAAAAATAAATAAATTGATGAGACGATTTAATCATTTTACAGCTTCTGTACTCCATGCTCTCTTGCATTCGAGTGGTGCTGTTACTCCGGCTTGCAGTATTGATTGCTTTTTTCTTTTAGGCCAAACCAATTCAATTACCTGTCAAATCTGGACAGGACGGCTTTTCAGGCCTTTTTTTATTGTCACTATAGTATTACGGGGATTGCTTCCCTTGCACAATGGCTTCTTAGGGAAAAAAAAAAAAAAAAAAAAAAAAAAAAAAAAAAACTTTATTCGTTGAAGTGAGAGACTTAGGAACTACTGATTTGGTTTCTTCGGTGGTATTTTTGTGCATAGGGTTTGTGGCGTGTAGCGGTCCGTCCAGTTTTAGGGCTTGACCCGTGATGTCTCTCCCTAAATCAGGACCGCGGATTGTTTTGTAAGGGACGCCAGGCCCGTTTCCTGGCATCGAAATATAAGGGACGCCCGCACGGGTTCCCGGTTGTTTTGTTTAAAAAAAAAGAAAAAAAGAAAAAAGAAAGGGAACTACTGGGGACCCTTATTACGAAATTCGTTGGGGGACGCCAGGCCCGTTTCCTGGCATTGAAATATAAGGGACGCCGGGCCCGGTTCCCAGTTGTTTTGTTTGAAAAAAATAAATAAAAAAAAAGGAACTACTGGCGACCCCAATTAGGAAATTCGTTGACGAGTTTTTTGATGTTTTTTCGGTTTTTGAGAATTTGTTTTGTTGAGGTGGTGATTTTTTTGACCTTTTTTGGAATTGTAGACGGTAGTTTTCTACAGAGGAGGGGCTCCACCCAATGGAAGGGGATTGGAGGCTTTGGGACCCCTGAATTTGCAGCTCTCTGACATTGTATTTTTAGTATTTTTACCTTGGGCAGTGTGTGCCCTAATAAAACTATTGTTCTTTATTTATTTAAAAAACAAAAAAATGTTTTCTGAGCTTTTCTCAATTTTTTTTAATTGTCATTTACAAGTTTTGTGTGCATACACTTTTGGTTCACACAACTTCGCAGTGAACTGCCGTTAGAGTTCAGCTTAGCCAGGGCCTGGTCCCACTAGCACAGAGGATTGGATTTAATTCCTGAATCTGGACTTGCTTGTGGAAAGATGCAGAACACTGCGATTGATCTGCTTTTCTGCATCTCTGAGCAAAACCCATCCCGATTCAGGAATTTACTCCAACCCTCTTTGCTAATGGGACCTGACTCCCCGAGTGCCTTAGGGCCTGGCCACACCACACCCGACTGGGGAAAATTTTCCAGAGTGCTCCCGAACATGAAAACCCGCTGGGGCCACACTACACTCTCGACCCGGCCACGCTCAGATTCTGAAAATGTAATTTGCCACA